AAAGCACTCACTGTTACGTGTTACCTATGTACGTCTTTTGTGTAGTTCTCTCTCTCGTTCACACACACACACAAACGGAGACACAAACCAAGGTGACGATGAGCTTAATAACTACCATTGTTTCATCCGAATGCTTTTGCATGGCCAAAGTGGTGTGCTGACTGTGAACGTACAATCGATTTCTACGGCAAGAAAACTGCAGGCACTTGTTCATTACGTAGTGCGGATAACCAGGAATAGAACGAGAGAGACTAAGATTCGTGAGCGCTAGAAGAACCCAATAAGTGTGTGTTGCTGAGTCAAGTAAGATGCAGTCGTTTGTCACAGTACGTACAATCTTAGGCGTAGAGAACGAAGAGAGCTACCATCGTGATGCGGATCACAACAAAAGGCTGTATAAACAGCTAAATCATTAATATAGAACCAAATTCGGGTGAATAATTCGGACATATCTCAAGTATTACCTTGCGTAATCGATCCCCTGAATCCTCGGTCACAGATTGCAACAGGCGTCGAAGGGTCTCCACGAACTGACCCTGCCTCATGAGTTCTGTGTACCACGACTTCTGGTCTTCGTTCCCCTGAAGTGGGTAATAACGAAAAATGGTCAGTAAATAATATTCAGATTTGACGAGACAATTGATCGAGTGCATTTTTCACGTAAGCAAACATAGATACGAAATTTGATTGCAAAACCGTTGCATTCAAGAAATGCGGAAAAATCCAAAGGAGGAAGGTCCGTAAAAATCGTTGACCAGACATGGACTGTGACTTCAGTGAATTCGCATTGGGGGGCTACGGGGACCAGGGACTACATAATTTTACTCGACTGTTTACTTTTGCGCACCGAAGTGTCTCACAAGTACATAAACCAGCTGAAGTCATAGACGAAATATTGGACATCGTTCCAGATGGTCTTCATATTGTTGTTTGCTGTAGAATAAGCTATGTCATCTGAGACAGGGCGACAACTTTGTCTATTCGAATGCAAACTACAGTTGGCAGACTAACAAGTTTTGTTAATCTGTTTCGTGTGGACCTTGTAGTTCCACAGTGCCGGTTTAGCCAGCATTGAATCACGACGGGCAGGAATTGATGATGTGTGACTGCAAATCTCACCCAAATTATTGTAACACATGACAATGAAATGCTAAAACGGGGAGGGGTGACCGCACGCATACCCAAGGCCTCAGTGGCGCATTCTGTACTGGAACATCCTTGTATAAGACTGGCTTGAGAGGAGAGAAGATACAGCGAAAGGACAACAAATTGGCACGTTAGGGTCCGTAAGACTGCAACTGGTTGGTTGGAGACATTTAAGGATATAACAACGAACCGACAGCAGTGGAGTTCTTGTTGTCGTTTTTTAACAGGCTAGAACGCTTGAAACGGTATTCATGCAGAGTTGGATTGCGCACTCTGTGTTGACCATAGTAGTTCACCTTCTTCCCCCTCCCTCAAAATAGATCCAATCCCTGTCCACCTTAAATTTTACCACTGACCTGTCATGTATGGCGAGTTTGGCAACGATCAGTGAAGTTCACTTCACCATATTTCACTGTACGATGATTATACTGATGAGGATATTTGAAGAGACATGTGTGTGTGTATGTGTCACAGAAATATCGTATTTTTCCCCAGATTAGAAACATATCCACTCCGTAACCGGCTTGAACATTCGTAATCACCCGACACACACTATATGCTTGTCAGCAATCGACGACTTTCGTTTGACGGTATTTTCACTCTATCCTATGCTGACTACTGTCAGGCATACCAATGCGGCTTCAAGTTGCTCATCTGGACAAGGGATGAAAGTTATGTATGCTGCAGGATCCCGATAGGGACTGTTGTCGATGAGCCATCTGAGATGCGTGTTCCGCTATGCTATGCGTACGCACCGTGATGAGATGATTAATTTTGGGTTCTATGCAGCAAAATTTAACCGGGGGGGGGGGAGTTGGACAGAATAAATTGATTTTTTTTCGAAGAGAATGAATACTGATTGGAGTTCCCGGATACGTTCCGACACACAGACACACAAATGATGCTGATTGGAGAACAGAACTAATTCTATTTCAAGCCAGGTTAGAATTCAATGTAGAAAAAAAGTGTGGCTACTAGAACAACTGTGATAGGTCAAACAAACGTGTATCGATTGAGAAAATCAGTGTAGAACAGTGTAGAACTTGATTCCGGTTCAACAGGTAACTTTTAATATATATAGACACACATAGGAACCACAATATTGTCTGTCCACTTACGTTACGTAATGTGTCCAACAAACGTCGTAATACATGTGTGTACATATTTCGTGCAGTGGAATTTTTTCTGCGTGCCTCCAGTCCCACAAACCAGTAGAGGTAATTGCAAATTTGAAAACTGGACTGAGCTCGTCGTAGAAGATATGTAACCAAGTCTTCCTGGAGATGACGCAAGCAGACGGTAGGATAAACAAAGTTAGAAAAAAATGCAAGGAACGAATGAATGAACGAAAATGTCAGGAAGAGAACACTAATTCAAAATAAGCTAGAAGGGTTAGTGAAATAGACCGAAACGGAAGGCGATGTATGCGGGGTAGGAACATATGGACATGTTCCCAATAAAAATTCGAATAAATGAAACCGAAAGTAGCGCAGACAGGTTATTAGAAATAATGGCTTGAAAACATGGATGGTCCTCTTACAATAAGGAAAACTTCTAAATTACGGTTTGTCAATTTCGATAGAATCTTGGTTATGTCCAATAGGAATCTCATATTCTCAAAGAACAGCGCGAAACCAAGGCTCAGATTGAGTTCGAACAGGAACTAGTATATATGTGATTGAACGGTGGTTGTTGTTTTTACTTGATGGGATACCACTGTGTGATGAAGAGAGTAGCAGTGACCACGGTTCATTCATCAGAGCCGGTAATCTAAGCCCTGGGACCTGGAGTGACGAATCTTATAAGGTCTCACTTGGTTAGGCTTGTGTTATTGAACCGCAAGACAGCCGAGGTGCTTACGAAAACAGTTGGGTAGAGGAAAGAGGGGTGTAAGATTATGACCTCATATAAGAATATGAAAACATTGACCGCAGAACTTGACCACAAAGGTCGCATTGGGCCTGCACATTTCAATAAATAAATCCTCACGACGCGTGTTGTTTGCCGATTCAGACAGTGGATGGAAAAAGGTCTAGGGCGGTCGAAATAAGACCTGGCATGAAGATATGAAAACCTTGACCGGGAGACTCGGTTGTATAGGTCGCGTTAGGCTTCCTGTTTGGAGACCCGGAGATCACGGTAACCGGTGGTACTGAGTGATCAGACTACGTGTCGCAAATAGTGGACATCGTGCATCTAATCATTATCCTTGCAACCCTAGATCACGTGAAATCTCCATCTTCTTTTTGACTCCACTCTCAACACTCAAATTTTCCTTGTACTGTTTCATCCAGTTGTGTAGTTAGTAGTAGTAGCAATCAAAACCGGTGCACGAAAGTTCGTGGTTAATGGTTATCAAAACTGGAACCGGAGCTGTGAGTTGGACATCTCGAGAGTAGTCAGCGTACGGCGATATGGTCGAGTCGTAGATAGTAACATTCGTGCACTCACTTCCTTTCTCTGAACATTCAATTAATTTGTGTACGGTATCTTAAACCGGATACCGATCTCAGCGCCTTAATCTATCTTATGGAGTTCTTGTTCTCATTGCTTGACTGGAACCATACTCAAAAGAGGGAACAGGAACGACAGCGAATCACGCTGACTCACTTGAACAAAATACAGTACGTAGATCTTGCATTTCTGCACACTCAGTAGTTCTACAAACACAAGTAACAAATACCATTAAACTCATTGGGGATCCCTGGGTCGGTTTAATTCAAGAGCAAATGAATCCACAACAGTTTGAACTTAACCGTGTGATCGTGTCTATCGTACCTTCCACATTGTGCGCAATGTCTCAGACCAACGTCCTGGGGCCTCGGTCAGCGAACCGTGTGTGACCGTTTGGGAGTGTAATTGTTGCATAGAGCATCGACTTTGATTCA